ACGCTCTGACGATGACAGCGATGGTAAAATCATCTGCTCAAATTGAACCCTTTTAAGTTTCAAAAGGTAACGAAATAAAATATCAAGAGAGTTTTTTGCTATTGCAGCAGTTAAAGGTCCATCCGTGCTGTATATGTGCTTGGAAAAAAATATGATCAGAATATGAACTTGCATAATAATTATGCATGCACTGTATTTTTCCTCTTCTGCTGCCGAGGTAATGCAAGGAATGTTGTGAGTGGTCGTCAAGGCAGCCAATCAGAATTTAGCAGACTCGTCTCTGATTGGCTGGAATTATGGCATATTGTAACGCTGGGTTGTGTTGAGCACGCGAGCTGTTGGCATTTAGAGAGCACTGAGGGCGGGCATCAGGTGAGCAAGCTAGTGAAACGTTGCACGCGCAAAAGAGAAGGTCTGCACACATCCAAAAACTTATTTTAAATGCAAAATTGATTTTCGTGCGCTCAAAATACTTTTTTCTTTGCGAAACGAACGTTTTCTCCACAAAACTCAGATCGCGAGCGTGCAAAATGCACTTTTGTGTGCTCAAAATATGATCTTTCGCACGCAGAAATGTGGCAGAAATGTAATCCCATACGCTCGGCCTTTAACAGCGGCGGTGATGAAGCTCCATTCGCTTCAGGTGTGCCTCATCACACGCCGCCAGCCCTAGCTATTTCAGCGCCCCTCCTCTCTCAAGTGGGTGCGTGAGCGCAATATATATATATGTCTAATGTGGGTGTGTTTATATATACATCTATAAATATACACAGTACACACACATATATTACGTAAACAAGCTTTTATTTTGATGTGATTAATCGCAATTAATCGATTTGACAGCCCTAAAAAAATTACACATAAATACATACATACATACACACACATATATATATATATATATATATAGACAGCATTTAGTTTGTCACACCACAGTTTTACCCATTTTAACAGCAAGTGTTTATTTTGACTCTGTGGCAGCATATCTCTTCTGGTCTTCTGTCAGACCAAAGTTGTCCCAGTGACTACAGCGCACAAGTTTGTCTTTGAAGAGCTGCTTTTTCAACAAGTGCTTTACTAGACCGTCCAAACTCCACTTCTCACAACATCTCAGCTGAATAAAACAACCAACACATAAACATCCATTTATCTCATTTAAAATCAACATGAAATTTTGGCAATACATGATTTATTATTTCAACTCTAACTAAAAGGTCTTATTTCACTGTACATATCTTCACAGTACATAGAGGACAGTGTGCTTTACTGAATAAACATATTTATCTTGACGTATGTCACTGCCACGATACAGTACTTAACAGTTGTTTCAGGGTACTGTGGTCAGATATTTGCAGATATTTTCTAGTATTCACTGTCTTCCCCGCCAATATTGTATATCAGACTGCTCATCCAGCAATACTTTCATGTCTGTCACACCACACCTCTAACTCACTCTCTCAATTCAACCAAGCATCTTGGCTCCACCTTGCGTCTCATTCATCGACTGCAGCGAAAATGACATCAGAGAACTTCAATATTAACATGAACACTAAAACAATATTACAGCTGCTAGGCTGATTTCTTACACAGCAATGGACTATTTTTTTTTCTTCTTTTTCTTATGACTAGTTTTAAGATAATAAGAGATAATTATAATTCTATATATTATATATTCACCTGGGGTGCCTCAGGGCTCAGTTTTAATTATGATAATGTAAATAACGAAGTTTTTGTTATTAATCTATTTATTTTGTTGGTTAAGTTTCACATTCATAAGTGTAAATTTTCTAACAAAAAACCCTGTTTTACAGTGTTTTTTAAAGAGTTGGAAAATTACTTGTGTACTATTCAACATAGTACTAATAGAAAGGCAATTAAAACTGTCAGTTTGTGTTCTGTCTTCAAAATCTTTGCGTAATGTAAAGGTCATGCATGTCTCGGATTATGTGTGTATATATGTATATGGATATGTGTATGTGTATGTATGTATGTATATATATATATATATATATATGTATATATGTGTATGTATGTATGTATGTATATATGTATATGTGTATGTGTATATATATATATGTGTATGTATACATATATATATATATATATACCTTGCTACGTGTACTGCGTTAGGCTAACCGAGACTTGTCATTTGCACTTATATATTGTTGCTCTTTTGTTAGTTTTTACTGCTTTTATTGTCCTCATTTGTAAGTCGCTTTGGATAAAAGCGTCTGCTAAATGACTAAATAAATAAATAAAATAAATAGATAATTTGATCTGAAAATCAATATTTCACGTCCTTGTATCAGTGTTACTTTAGGATTATTTATGTAGTATTATAGTATTTATTAATGTTTTGAACGAGTTTCTATTTTTAGATTTTTCATTTCCATTTTCCATTACATATTGTTATATTTATAACTTTAATTTATTTTTATTTAGCTTTTAGTTTTAGTAATTTTAGTCCTTCAAGTTCAACTTCAACTTATTTATTTCAGTTAATTGCCAAGGCAACATTTCCAAGTCTAATATTTGTATTTTATTTTATTTTATCTTTCTTTCAATTACTGAAAATTATTTTTAATAGTTTTAATTTTAGCTAACAATAGCAACACTGCCTTTTATTAATTTATTTAGTGAGTTGCCGTGTAATAAGCTAAATTACAGTCAGCCAGTTATTATCGCAAAATACAGTGTATATAGAAAAGAATCACACCTTGAGCACAGCCTTTTACAGCTGAAAGTCAAATGGCTTTGTGTGACATTGAGAAGGTGATGAGCTACTCCTGATTGAGTTTATACGTCAGTTTTAGGAGGGGGTGATCCTTTTTCCAACTCAGTGATTCTGTTTTATTATTTTTTTCTGACACGTTAGTGTTTTATCTTTCACTTGGATGTTATAAGTTGTAAATACAGCTGGATAAAACAAAAAGGGGTTATTTTGTGACTGGTTGACTGTAATTTACTGTCCATTATCCCATACTCATCACCCTCCAGCCAAAAAGACATGTGATTTGAGTAATCATTCATGCTGGGAGTTTAATTCTTTGTGTTAAAGGGATAGTTCACCCAAAAATTAAAATGCATACCGTCTTGTTTGCCAGATTAGACAGCTCAACAATATTGTTCAATTTGATGTCATAATCAGATAGTAACTTCCACTTGTCACCCTCAATTCCCACTCCAACTTTCATGATATTTTCATCCTCCAAAAACACCTTCAGGCCAGGAGGAAACCCTGAAACATAAGACATACAGTACCTGAGCAGATAATCAGATAATACTAAGCAATGACAGGCAGCTTCTGCCTAAGCCCACCTGACATGGAGGAGATGTGAAACAGATAGCATTTCTCCTCTGATGCACACAGCTGCACTACAGCCACTTTCTTTGTCTTCCCTTTGGTGAAGCTGGGCGGCCACTCCAGATCAAATCCCACCGCTGAGTCTGATGCCAAACCAGATCTGGAGGAGACACACAAAAGCCAAATATAAGGAGAGATTGGGTAGGTTAACAAACATCTTCATCCACACTCATTCTCAGCACAAGTCATGTGACATCAGTAACTGCGTATACTTTCTGGGTCAGACAACCCAGATCCTTCGGCATTAGGCCAGACTCTCCCAAGAAAGTCCCACAAATCCTACATAACCTGTCAACAACAAGTTCAAGACAAATTTCACCCCAAATCCAAAGAGTGAAATCAAATATTTTGCATATATTGTTATATCTGATAATTCAGAATGCTGAATAACCCTCTTTCCAAATGACCTTTACCATAAGATTATTATTTTAGAGCTGAGCAAGTAAAACAAACTATTCACAGTAGAACTTTCCATGATTATTCCAGAGACGTTTCTTCCACTACGGTAAAGAGAATTGTGCTTAAGTGAACACTGTGGAACTCTGGGCCCCAAAGCGACATGATGATGATAAACAATGAATCAATGAGTGTGTATTTCAACGCTCCCCCAAAAAACGTTGTGTTTGTGGGGAAATGAGGCGGAAGGAAACATCTATATTTCAGTTATTTTGCGAGCAAACACAAAGGGGGATTCAATGCTTTTGCGAGTGAACGCAGAAGTACTGACATATATTTTTTCTTCCCATTTGCACAATTTTTTCAACACCATGTCTCCTTAATGGCTCCATAGTGCCCTCTTTCGACATCTGTTGCCAAAACATAGAACTGCAAGCTCCTTGCTGAAAACGTGTTTTTTATTTTTATTTTTTAATGTCCGTTGTGTTTCAGCACTCATGCTCCATGCGGAGGAATCTGATGGTTAGACCGTCATGGTTACCTCTGATCAGGATACTTAGAGCGGATCTGACTAGCTAAACCAAGTTCCTGGATAGTAAGTACAAATAACAACGTCCTACAAGATGTGTATGCAAAAAAGATGCCATCTGATCAAGAGAGTAGCATATCTGGCACTATAACAGCCGTCTTTAATTACTTTTTTATGGACAGCACTGAATATAAATCATTATTGTAGATGTACCATTCTAGTGACTCAAAACAAGAACACTCTTTTGATTCTGAACACTGTTTTTATGCACTGGCTCAATTATTCTTTTCTAACAAAAACTTAAAAGATAAATCCTTTGTAGTGCACCTTCAATTGTTATGAAAATGTCCTAGTATTTAAGTTTTTTTTTTTTAGGGTTACCTAAGCATGTTTTTACAAGATTCAGCCAAATATATTACCTTAAATCTTCTGATAAAAATGAGCAGTCATGTCTTTCCTGGCTGTATATGACTGTTCCTCCAAACTCCAGATAAGGAAGATCATCCTCCAGAATGCTCTTTTTATAGGGTCCTGGTGTCTGTGGAAACACACACTAAGCTAATTCAACAAAATCTGATGCATTATGACTTTAGTAAAACTGTAAGTCAATGCAAAGCGCATTAACAACCAAAGCAGTGATGTTCACGGCAGCCAACGTAATGACAGCACTGTCACTAAAGATACATGATGCACAGAAAAACACATGAAATCATAAAAATATGGAGGGCTGCCAGGTGCTTTTCATACAGGTGCATTGTGCTCTAATTTTACAACGTCTGTTTTCCAGCTTAGACAAATAAGTTATTTCCTCTCTACTTTAAACTGCTTAACCACACAGCTTTTTTCTCCAAAACAACATTTAGAAATATAAATAATGACAACATTTAAAATAAATTAATTTGAAAAAGAATGTTTAAAAAAATGACAAAATGTTATTACAAATAACAAGAATGAAGGTTCGCATATTTTTGTAGAAGCGGTGGCATGCAAATATCATATCCACAGTACAGCATGCTTCAATGCCAGGAAACAATCTTCATCTATACAATGAAAGCATCATAACATGCAAACTGCACAGGTCATGTTATAGACTAGTTGTGTCAAACATCATAAAAGCTTTTGATTTGACTTACACTACATAATATGTGGTGTAATAAATGTAGAGCACAACTTTTAGTCTTACAGAATGTATTTATAAAATGATGTGTACTTAAATGACCCTGTATAAGACCATTAAACCAGTATTTCTTGACTGTTGACCTGCAAACAGTGCTTTGGTTTGATTTGAATATAAGCATAGTGCTGCAGGTGTCTCAGTAAATAATGCAAATAAGTGGCTTTTACTTTCTCTCAACCAATGGAAAACATACACATTAGTGAAGGCACAGGTACAAAGAGAGCATTTCCTCCTGCACATAGCATGCCAGTGAAGATGACGTGCATGAAAGAAGAAAAAGAACGGCTTCAAGCAAACAGGTCAGTTTATGTTTTTCAAGTGAGTCGTGTGTGTTTTATTGTTGACTTTTCTCACATGTTCTTCCTGAGGTTTGTTCATCCATTCAGGTAGAGTCCTGTCACCCATTATAGCTTCCTTTCATCCGTCTTTAACAATAAAACAGCACAAAGCTAGTATGACTACATGGTAAAACTAACGTTAGTAGTATAAAACAGTAATGAATATTCCCGAGCGTGACATATAGTAATAATATTAATATTACTTTTGACGCGCGTTTACTAACAATGTCTTTCTGTGCCGCTGTCTTTCTGTGCATTTCATTCAGCACTTCATATTCCTCTAAAAGCTTTGATAACTCACAGCCTGTCTATACGCGTTGAATAAGAATTTATATTTATAAGCAACATTTCCAGTTACTTCAGCCAAACTCTCCCGCGCTGTATTCGTATGTGACACACCCAGCAGCGCCACCTGTGGGACTGGAGTGAAATAAACAAGCTGGCTGTGTTACCAAAAAAAAAAGAACACTGAATGAGCGTCATAACAAGCGCGGTTTTTAGTTGTTTAATATGAATGGCGTAACACTGTCTAAAGTAAATCATCTATATGAACAAAGCCGTCATGGAACTAGTATTGTGCATTATACAGTAGTTGTATTAGTTACAATGCAACACAGTGCTCGAAGTGGTAACAGCAATATCGCCAAGTATTTTTTTCATATTTGATATTTCAAATGTAATAATGATTTGCATCTGACAGCCGGTGCACAAGAGAGAACTGGTCTATAATGAAAAGTGGATAGGGCATCAAATACATTTGGAAATGCATTGGCTAAGTCTCACAATTCCTCTTAAGGTCACTGCAAATCCCTGTTGTGTTTCATGAGCTAATGCCATATGGGAGGACTTAAAACATATAGCCAACTACTATACAGTGGGGAAAATATTTATTTGATCCCCTGCTGATTTTGTAAGTTTGCCCATTTACAAAGAAATTAAGGGTCTGTAATTTTTTGGTAGATTTATTTTAAGGGATAGAGACAGAATACCGACCAAAAAATCCAGGAAAAACACATTATATAAAGGTTAGTGATTGATTTGCATATTAGTGAGTGAAATAAGTATTTGATCCCCCACCAACCAGCAAGAATTCTCCCACAGACTGGTTATGTGCCCATGTGGAACACAGATTAGTCCTGCCACTTTAAGAAGTTACTCCTAATGCTGGTTAGGTAGGTGTATAAGACATCTGTCCACACAATCTGTATCTTCCATTCCTGCCTCTCCCACCACCATGGGCAAGACCAAAGAGCAGATGATCATGAGAAAGGTGAGGGATCAGCCCAGAACTACACGGGAGGAGCTTGTTAATGATCTTAAGGCAGTTGGGACCACAGTCACCAAGCAAACCATTGGTAACACACTACGCCGCAATGGACTGAAACCCTGCAGCGCCAGCAAGGTCCCCCTGCTCAAGAAGGCACGTTCAGGCTCATTTAAAGTTTGCCAAAGAACATGTAAATGATTCAGAGAAGGCTTGGGAGAAAGTGCTGTGGTCAGATGAGACCAAAATTGAGCTCTTTGGCATTAACTCGACTCGCCGTGTTT